TTGACTGGCCTACATCTAACGGCTTCAAGCCGTACGATGTGGAGGTGAGTCCGACGGACACGCCAACACTGGTTGAGACGCAGGGAGCACTTGCTCAGCTGTGAAACGGAAAGTGTGCAGGGGCCGACAGGATCCCGCCTGAAGTATTGCAACACGGCGGACGTGCGTGGGTGACTGCCTTGCACCACTTGGTGCAACGCATATGGATTGTCGTGGAGGTGCCTGCTTAGCTGCACGATGCCTTGTGCTGCCACTGTACAAGGGCACATAGAGCATGCAATGTTGCACAAATTATCGTGGCATCAACTTGCTGAGTTGTGTGGGCAAGGTGATTGCCCGAATCCTGCTCAACCGTCTCGTCAGTCAGGTTGTGGAACTGAACGTGGCGGAAGAGCAGTGTGGATTTCGTTCGGATAGTAGCACCATAGATATGGTGTTTGTGGTTCGTCAGTTGCAAGAGAAGTGCAGAGAACGACATCAGCCGTTGTATTCGCTGTTTGTTGGTTTCACCAAGGCATTTGATACGATGAACCGCGACGCATTGTGGTTGGTGTTGGGTAAGTTCGGTTGCCCGCCTAAGTTTGTAAGTTTATTTGAATGTCTACACAGTGGTATGCGGGCGAGGGTGCAGCTGAGTGGAGAGACCTTTGTTGACTTTTCAGTTGTCTCTGGTGTGAAGCAAGGTTGTCTTATCTCCTGCTCTGGTTAATACATCTCTTCATGCAATGATGTCGTCTGCTTTTAATGCGGCTTGTGCTTACGGTGTTCGTGTGGAGTACCATATTGATGGTGGGTTGCTGAACATCCGTCGTTTCGGTGCGAGAACCCTAGTCTGTGAGACAACTATCCGTATGTTGCTGTTTTTTGACGACTGTGCGTTGTTTGCACACAGAGTGGATGAGTTGCAGCACAGGACTTGTGCTCTGGCTTCAACAGCGGCAAAATTCGGGCTCACTATCAACACAAGCAAAACTGTCTGTCTTTTTCAACCTTCACCGGAGGTGCAATCTTCAATATTGCCGCGAATCAGCACTAGTGCTGAAGTATTTGAAACCGCCTCCCGCTTCATCTACCTTGGGAGTGTGACGTCGACTGATCCGCAGCTACACAGTGAGCTTCATATCCGCGTCTCGAAGGCAGCGGCGGCATTCGGGAAGCTAGAGTACCGAGTGTGGAACAGCCATCAGCTTATTATTGGCACGAAGCTGATGGTGTACAAATCCATGGTACTGTCCGTTCTTCTATGCGGCGGTGAAAGGTGGACGATGTACTGGCGGGATGGGCGATATCTCGAGCCTCTCCGCAACAGTATTTGCAACGGAGTCTGCGCGTTAGTTGGTGCGAGGGAGTTGCTGACACGGAAGTGTTGAGCCGAAGTGGAAGGTATGCAGTGAGCTGCATACTCTTACTGAGACAACTGAAATGGCTCGATGATGTGTGCCGTATGGATTCGTCGCGGATACAGAAGCAGCTGTTATGTGGTCAGCTGTATTGGGAAGCGGCATGTGGGGAAACCAAAGTTGCGCTACCAGGACATCGTCGAAGTGAGCCTTTCACGTTCTAATCTTGATTACAGGTCATGGGAATCGAAGGCGGTTGATCACCGTGCATGGCGCAATCTGATCACGAAGGGCATTGCCGAATTGCGGGAGAAAGTTCTCGTGCATGCAGAGAAGAATCGACGAGTGCGGAAGCGGCAAGCACTGATGGGTTGTACTCCATCGACATTGAGCGCATGGTGCTGTAGCACTTTCGGTCGCGAGTGCCTTAGTCAGGCAGGCCTAGTGAGACATGAGCGAGGCCACTCGAGACCACCACCGAAGCGACGACGGGTCCTGCAAAGAACGTAGGGAGAACCTGCTCAGTGTTTGTAGGTACGCTGAATTGGATTTACTAACCGCGTGCTTACATGCTGAGTCTTTTTATTTCAAGTGGTGTCTTTGCATTTTTGTCCTAATGCTTTTCTTTCCCAAATTAATGTCTAGCTGAATTATCTTCTATAAACTTACACACGTCGCTGAAGCTAATTGTACTTAACTTCGATAACATTTTCGCGTTTGTGGCGTTTTCTCAAAATATATCTTCTGACCTCTTTCCCTTATCGCCGATTCGTTCGTAAACACTTTTTTATATACTCCCATTTAGTGAAGATTTATGCCGCTGTATCTGTATGCATTGTTCGATTTATTTTATTTCATTTTGTCGTTTCACGTGATTAGCTGTTGCGTGTGATTGCGCTTGATGTGTATGTTGACAAGATGCCTACCTGTCTATTACGCACTACCTCGTCCATACTGGCTCCAGGAGACAGTTGGTCGTCGCTGGAGGGGACGGGGTGCGCGGTCATTGTGGCCGTGCTAGATCAGAGTGGTTCCATGCACTCAGTGTGTAGCGGACTACGGTCTAGCCACCGCTTTGTATGCGATTGATTCCCCAAATACAGCGTGCCTGGGATTGCCTGTGAAGGAGTGTGGGCCGGCTCCGTTGATGAAACGTGGCTCCCATCCACATGCCTCCTGGTCTTATTGCTTCGGGTTTACACTGGATATGGGGTGTGTGGTTGGAGCTTTTGGTGGTGCAGCGCAAGCCACCCTTGGTCTCTCCTTAGGCGCAGGCGTCCTGTGGCTGGCCACAGTGACAGGCAAATCCGAAACTGGATGCCGACAACCATATATATATATATATATATATATATCCAGTTTGGTATGTTTAACACTGACGCCGGCATATTGGATATTGGGCCCATACTTCCACAAACCCGAGCCGTATTTCCTTGAGCCATTACGTCTTCTGACGACCATTATCATTACTTGTAAGACGCATATCCCAAATATCGGATTGTGTGCGCTCCACATCGACAAGTGGGCTGCTTATTTTGTACACCGCCGATGCCCTTGACGCAGTGCATCATGACGCAACCGCACCTTGGTCAGCACCTCTTCTAGTAAACTTGGTACCACGTACTTTTGGTTTACTAAGGGGGGATTCTGATAAGGGTGATGTTTGGTTGTCTCACCAGTAATACGTGTGGCATTGGCAAAAGATGCTGCTGATTTCATCGACTTCGTTTTGCAAACTCAGGGACATACGTGATGTTGTCAAAGATTCCTCGCTATAAAGAGCAATCAGTTGCATGTCTTTTAGTTAAGATCAAAGGCCGCACTGTCGGCGTCTTCTGCTATCAACTGCGATAGTCGATATGAATTTGATCTGCGGACTTCACTTGGCCTTAGTTCACCATACGGTCGAAAGTGGATTTGCTCCAAGTTGATCTAACCGCCTGAATCGTGATACAGCACTTCTGTCATGTCCAACATGTGCTCCATTTCACAACGCGTTGTATGCCTAATGGAGTTACCGAGCCAAAACCTATCGTGTTTACGAGCATACCTCTGCTGGAGCACACCAAACCCGATAAATTTTGTCAGCTACGGTCTGTCCGCCGAGGTGCAGCGAATTCAGTCTTATCACTTCATTTATGTGTAGCGGAATTTTGTTGTAAGTTAGAGATAATTCGTCGCAATCAGCTCCCTAGCCTCTTGTGCATCCGCAAAGCACTAGTCGTCCGCTTTGTTTCGTTGGTACTCATAGTAGCACACATCAATCAGCCCGACCATGTGCCGAGCCAGTGGGCCGGAATGACGATGGCAGTGGAGTACAAGCCACGCTGTGTCGCAGTTAACTATCAGTAGTGACGAATCATCTTTAACTTCTCTCGATCCAGTACGCCAAAGTGGAACACACTGCCTGTTTAAACTCATCAGTTCCCTTCCCAAATTTGCAAAGCGCGGAATGAATGCAAACACTGGTAGATGCATGCATTTCGTATTGTCTCTTCAGCACTATTAACAATAAGCGATATGTTTAGATATAGCTAACATTGAGTGTGACCAATTTTCGGAAATTTTACCATCAAATTGTGGCTGATAAGCTTTGTGGGTTGGTCAACAAAGTCGTGTGTCCTATTGCAATTTTCACGCATCCTGACGACTCACCAGGGGGATCCATACAAGACGATTTTGCCCTACGATCCTTGCTTACGGATTGGCCACTGTTCAGATCAGAAGCAAGCTTCACTTATTGATTGATGCTCAAATTCCTATCTTTTTGCCGATCGCCTGTCTCTGACAGGATTCTGAACGACACAGGCGCATAATCAATGCGCAGCTGCCGTTCAACTGCTGGTCGAAAGGATTACACGCTTGCTTTGTAATCCTGCTGTCATCGGTTTGCATCCGCGTAGGTGCTGTCGATCTCACGGTTTTGCGTGGCAGCGAAGCGTCAGTTCTGTGTGCCGCTCTTCCGCCATGTGACCGTGAGCGGTAATCGATCCAGCAACGCCCACGTGACCTGTCGTCGGAGCCGTCCTGAATACTGTTGCTTGCTTGTTGAACGGCACGTTGGGTGGACTGTGCATTTGCATCGTGTTTCGTTCCTGTTGTTTTTCGTAAGAGGCGTGTTCTCACTGCCAAATTAAAAATACTAGCGTTTTACTTGCACTCAGGCGATTTCAAGTAACATCTCTGTATGCCGGGAGTCACTCGCGGGCTCTGTTTGCTTAGCAGCTCGCTTGACTATGATACTGTCACTTTAAGTAATCTTCCTGGTTTGCATTCCTTCCGTGTGTCGTGAATACTCCTACTAGACCTCATAGCCCCTTATTGTGCGCAGTCCACTTCCGCCCTCACCTTCGTCGGTATCTTCGCCGCCTTGCTGAGTTGCGAATCGCGGCCTGTGTTGGATGTGCTCTCTTTTCCATCTTGTCTTTATTTCCGCTTCTTTTTTGTTTATCTTCCCATACATTTTCTTCATCCACGTCGTTTGTTTTGGCTTGCTGGCTATTCAATGGAATGTGACACTGTGATTGTATGCATGTAGTAGAGCACTCCAATGATTACTATACCGTTATCGCCAGATTATACAAAGCTCACCCATCTTCGGCCCACATCGCATCTGAATACGAATCTGTTTCTCAACCTCTCCCTTCTCGTTATCCCTAGAATTCTGGTAAGAGCTTAGATGCACAGACGTCTTCAGCAAATCTCGGGGCACATTCGCGCTGCAACGACAACGCTCGGTTTTCGTGGATCAAACGGCCTAGCTCTAAAGGTCACCCAAAGTGGACCTCTCGTAATCAGTTGGCGGACGCTTTTGTCTCCTTGAGAGATGCTCCCTCCTGCGATCAGTGTGTAGCCGTATTTCAGCAGGCTTCAAAGACCTTGAATGACCCAATGGTTCAGGATCAGTTGAAGATATTGGTTGACGATCGAGTGTGTTCGCGGCTGCCATCGTTCCTCCATGCAGCGGTGAGTGGACATTTCACCGTCTCCGTACCTCCGTCCTCACTTTGAAATCTTAATGCACATGTCTTTGATGTTTCTGGCTACTCGATCTATATGTGTGTGCACCCGAGCGAATCTACTGTCCCATTTATCTCTTACCAGTGCACGACTGCCATCAATGATCATTTTGACGAAATCGTTCAGGCTCTACAGCAAGTGGATCCGAAAGAAATATGCTCTCTCACGGGCATGTGTCCCAAGTCAGTCACCGATCTTCCACCTGGGACCAAAAGGCAAACAGCACTGTCACCGGGACTCCCTTTGCCTTCAACCTGCGTAGTATGTGAACTCGTGACCTATAAAATCATATCAACTGCTTTGACTAATGCATCCGAGAGCTCGCTAACTTCAGCGCTCAATCAAGTGAGTCACGTTCGTTATCTTTATCGCTCATTTTCCGCTGTGTATCACATCCTTAGGCTGTCACAGTGGCCTGTGTTCATTCACCAAGTTTTGTCTCCAGATTTCCTCTCTTTATTTGAACACATCTTGTTTTTTGTGAAGCACACGATGCCGATCATTATGATTACTCTACTGGTCTCCTCCGGTTGTCAAACATTTATAGTGGGGAATATTAGCGTCAGTTGTACTCTGCTTATGCATCCAGCAGCAACCCTTACCAGATAGTGCTCACTACTGCTTGGACCCTGAGACCTGAATTTGGCTGTACTAGTTTTTTTGGTAACCCAAATGCCCTCACAGTGACACCACTCGACGGTACGGATGCAGTTCGAAATCACTTGTTGAGACACTTGTACGCTCACCGAGCTTGGATTGCAAAACTTCCGTCATGAAACTAGGTCACCTCATCGATGAATAACAGCATGTGTGAAGGTCAAGAGCTCATTGGATCTGCTGCTCCGTGCTGTTGATGTCACTTCGTTTGCTGTTATTGCGTTTGAGACCCAGCTGCAAACCGCAGAACCACAAACATCCGAACAGCCATATCACGCCGTCAGTATGGTGAGTTATTTTGAACACCAATCTTTACTTATGTAGTATTCATAGGTAGTCCCATTTCCATACAGCTTAACGATGCTAATCACGAGAGCTATGGTAAACATTGAACGTTTGAAATCTGTGGGTGACATTTTCACCTTGACCGCTTATCTGCTTTCTTTCGTAGCCTTCGTCACCGTTCCACGGCTGCCCTTTGTGTCCCCACCCGCTTGAGTCTTCTGAATCACTCTTGGGATGCATTGCATCTGTAGCAGTAGTGAAGTCAACACTGGCGAATGGGCCGGTTGATTCTGCAGAACCTTCAGTCATTTGTTATCACCTTCGCTTTCACGTGACAGGAAATATGTGGTTTTCTAGACTTACTCCGCTAACTATTAGTTCACATTACGATCCAACACAGCTTTCATGAGTGCTAGAATGCTGGTCCGCTCGGCTTGGAACCTCACCTATAAAACAAAATTGCTGTGCACTCTTCCAAATTGCATTTGGTGTATCCGCTTTGTGGTTGGATTACGACTCGCAATCTCTATTCAGACCTCCGTGCTCTTTGAAGTAGACCTCGGTCATTACGATCACAAGGACCGTATCCGAATTGGTGGTTCGGTGTTGCTCCTCCCAACCCTGACACCCCATAACCGGTTTCGTCCTCTTTTGGATTTATCAGATGGAGATAGCCTGAGCTAGGGTGGACCTCGAGGCCTAGTGTTCAAAGGTTGACATTTTGACCACTATGGCTCTAAGATCCGCGAACAACGCTTGGTACAGCGGTAACGAATTCCAAGTGGCATTTAGTGTACCCGCTGTGTGGTTGGATTGCGACTCGCAATGAACGAGGGCTGTGCACTCTTCTTCACGATAGTGCTGTATAACACCTCATTTGTACAGCTGCGAACTGTCGGCCATCGGTTACTACTGTGTACGTGTTATGTCTATTAACGAGGAATTGTATGGCCTAATTTGGTGACCCGTGGTCTTAAAGATCATTAGCCTGCCTTGTAATCCGGAAGTCACGGGTTCGAGTTTGCGTAGGGACCGGGCGACCCTCGCAGTATCCTTAACTCACGCGCGACTGTTGATGGTTACGTGGCATCGAAGCCTCGGTACCGTGTACCGACGTACTGTTGATGCCCTTTCTATATGATGACCAGTACCGCCTAATCCGTCGGCAAATGAAATTAAGCCGATTCCAGTGGCCCAATCCCAGCCTTTATTTACCACCTGTCCTCACGCACCTCGAAGTGTTTTTCTGTCCAACGTAAGCACAGGGGTGGGCGTCCTCGCGGTATACTCAGCCCGCGCGCGACTGGTGGTGGTCGCGCGGCAGCGAAGCGCCGTTACGGCGTATAAGCTGACACATTTCATTTCAAGCAAACTTCAGAATTGTGTTGGACGATCAGTGGCATTAGTCGCTTTTCATTGCAGACGCGCGTGACCTTATATAAGCTTGGAATCCTCAGCGCCCTACACATTGTTGTCATCGTCTTACACAGACTGGTCATTTTGTCCGTTGGAGCCGCTGTGGCATATGCATGGTTACATGATCGTGCTAGAACAGTTGAATCAAGCACAAAACAAGAATATGCAATTCATCTATTTATTTGTTTATTTTAACATCCTGTCGCAACAAATTCACATCGATGACATCACTCTGAACATAAGTTTGCCACACTATGCCTCCCTGTTGGGCTATTTCCGGTGGCACGAACTTGGCTGAATTATGTATTCTGCGGGTCAATCGGATTCGGTCGGTGGCGGTCACCGGTTCCATCCTACGTCTGTACTAGTGAGCTGTCAACCCGCTTGCCATTGTCATTTACCTCGTTGGAGCGTAGCATCGGTACAACGTATCTGCATACTGTTTAAACTTTAGTTTTTTCCAATTAGATGTGTGCTCAGAACTGCAATGCTTCAAAAGAGCAGCTCCTAGTTTAAACTTTTCCCGCTTCTTTTTTCTCCCATTTTCACAACCAGTTGCCATAGTAGCCCATTCCGTGGACCTTTATACTTTCTGAACCTCGGGTTTCATAAATTATTTCAGCGCTGAACATTTTATATACCTATGTTGAGTTGGCCGATTGCTAGAGCAGCTGCTTGTGGATTCGTTGTTCTATACTTTCTCATCTCGACGAACCGCTTGCTCTGTTGGGAAACATTCTTTATTCATCAGGGAGGCTACGCTGCGCATCTCGGAGTTACTGGTTTTGCGCTTTGTAGGGACTACCAGACTCGTGGACATGCATCCACTGGCAAAATCTGACTATGCACTGGTTTCCTTTGAGTTCGGTTTCGCCCCGTCAGCGGTTCCGCTCGCAATTCTCTCTATCGCGTTTAATGTTCTCTCATTACTTCCTACCAACTACGCGAATGTGTCTTCGTGTTTCTCGCTACCATGCTATCTTCAGGAAACCGCAATGTTGTGTAGTCAAAACACCCTAGATATGTTATCTGAGCCCAGTGTGTACCCATGTGCAGTGCGGCCGATGGCCGAAAATATTAAGCGCTTGTCTTGTCACACACCGCGGTCGCCGGTTCGATTCTGCGTAGGTGCATGCAACTTCGCATCCTATCCAACCCACGCGCGGCTTGCGGTCGTTTTGTGGCATTGAAGCGTCAATATTGTGTCTGTGTATTGCTGCTGTCGACCCCTAACACAAAGTGCACTTGCAACTGTTATGATTGAGTCCTCTGGTTTTCATGCCTCTGCGCCTACAATACCACGCTTGCAAAACCAAGGATCTCCAGAAGACGAAGTATGCTGTTGTCTTTTCCTGCTCTTTAGAAATAGTAGGAATGTTGTCCCACAATCCAATGAGTGTAGGATACTCTGATCATCATGGCTTATGAAACACACGGTGGTCGTCCTGATGCATATGCCTCGCGTTTGGTTGTCACCAAATGATCGGATCAGTTGACAGACACGTATACATAGACCTTATGTCTACCCGCAAATACTTTTGTTATATACCACTGCACCCAACGTATGTGGTGGCTCGAAAGACGCGTTAGATTCATAAGGGAACATTGTTACAAACGTACCTATCTCTCACGCCATTTTACCCTTTCTCAGTTGATTGCATCCTCATTGCAATCGGTCTCATCCGTGAGGCAGCAGTTTAATTCCGTAAATTGCGTCCAGAAGCGCAGTGAGTGATCAGCCAATAGTATTCGGCCAACATGCGGCAAAAAAGCAATAGCATTTTTTAAGTGGGTAGCAATAAATGACCATATTAAAGCTATGCGTAGGAGAAATCCGCTGGGCGGTAATTGAAGCCTTGCTACACGGACCTCAATCATCCTCTCATCTGTACTTTTTCTCAGCCAATTGTAACGAGAACGCTTACAAGATCCTTCCAGCTAATCATGTTCCTCCATAGATCCCTCAGGTTAGTCCCCAACGCTATCAAATTACATCCGGCGGGCGCAAATGATCCTAAAAATGCGTATGTATGTATGCTGAGGCTGATGTTGCATTCTTGATGCTTCTCCATCGCAGTTGGGCTAAACCAACTTACACTTAAACTAGGTTTCTCTAAACTGGATAAATTTCATTCCACTTTATTTGGTTTGTTCTGCCTACCTGAATAATGTTCTATTAACTGGCCACGTTGCTTACGCTCATTGCGCTTATCTTCGGTAACTTTGTTGCGTTTGTAGCATTTTTAAGTAACTTGTGGACATTTTTTCCTTATCACGGATTCGTTGCTAACAAACTTACTTCATATGCTAATTTAGTGAAGATTTATGCCACTGTATCTGTATGCATTATTGGATTTATTTTATTTCATCTCGTTTCAAGTGATTGGCCGTTGCGTGATATCCCCGGTGTGGCTGTGCTTGATGTGCATGTTGACAAGGTGCCTACCTGTCTATTACCCACTACCTCGTCCATACTGTCTCTAGGAGACACCTGGTCGTGGGGGTGCACGGTCCTTGTGGTCGTGCTAGGCTCGGAGAGTGGTTCCATGCAGTCAGTGTGGAGCGGACTACGGTCCAGCCACCGCCTTGTGTGTACTTGATTCTCCAAATACAGCGTACTTGTGTTTGCCTGTGAAGAAGTGTGTGCCGGCTCCGTTGATGAAACGTGACTCCCATCCACATGCGTCCCGGTCTTATTCCTTCGGGTTTACACTGGATATGGGGTGTGTGGTTGGAGCTGTGGGTGGTGCAGCGCAAGCCACTTATGGTTCCTCTGTAGTCGCAGGCGTCCTGTGACTGGGCACAGTGACAGGCAAATCCGAAACCGGATGCCGCCAACTCTCTTTTTGTTCTATATATATATATATATATATATATATATATATATATATATATATATATAATACGCAGTCTGTGGTACAGATATCGTGCCATCGGAATCATGGCTGAATAGGAAAACAGTATGAATAATAAGGAAAGAACAACAA